CTTATGAGTAAGGGGTGAATCAAAGACAACTTGATGTAGGTGAGAAAAAGAAGAAAAAAACTATGGCACTGAAAGCTAATGATACGAATACAAGTTCTTCCGGATCTAAAAGTGATGATGTTGCCTTCATCACTAGGCAATTCAAAAGCTTTCTAAGGAAGAATCATAAGCATCATCATAAGAGGAAAAAAGATAGGGATATTAAAAATTTTAAAAGTTCTTCTAATATATATGTCAAAGCTGGTTGTCCTACACTTAAGGATCACTCAAGTGCAGGACAAGAAGTGGTTCCAAAAGGTGTTCTTGGCGAATTCTGCATCTAACTCCTCTGAGACTAAAGCGGAGGAGGAGACTACAAATTTGTGCTTGATAGTGGGTGATCACCTTGGTTAGTCTGACTAAGAAGAGATATACAAATCAGCCTATGATCAATTACTTGAAGTTTGTGAACAAATTCATGCATCAAATAGGAAACTTAAGAAATCGCATGCTAGTTTAAAATTGGAGTTTTTGAATTTGCAAAAAGATTATGGAATTTTATTGAAAGATCACTCTCAAATTGATAGCAATCACATGACATTACTTGATGAGTTTGATGAATTGAATAAAAAGCATTCTGAGTTTGTTATTGAGCATGATTCAATGAAAGCATCCTACACCTCACTTAAAACTAATTTTAAAATATATATTGATTAAGTTGAAAGTAGGGAGCACTATTTGAGAGTTGATAATGCTATTTTAGAAAGTGCCAACTCGAGGTTTAGAGTTGAGTTTAATCCTCTTGAGGAAAATAGGACTAACCCCACACTTAACCAAAAGCCAAAACTAAGAAGAGGCACGATAACTTGAACAAATTAGAAATTCTTTTTCCTGGTGTTAGATGTTTTTATGTGGCACGTTAGAGCATATTTCACACACTTGCAATGTTCATCGTAGTGCATATTAGGTGTGGAGACCCAAATTGATTGATTCACAATATAACATACATGCATTTGCATTCTTCCTTCTATAAGAAGGGACCCAAACATTTTTAGGTTTCTAAATCTAATGTTTAATAATTTTGTAGGCTTGCTCTCATAAAAACCCTCGGGAGAGCATGTGGTACCCCGAAAACGGAGGCTCGCTACTTATAATTGCATAAACTTGCTGCTTAATAAATTATGATTTGCATGTTTTTTGATCTATTGCTTGTTCTTATTTTATTTTCTTTCTTTTTAGTTTTGAGTGTTAATTTTTTATTCTCTATTATTTTGTAGTATTTTCATCTCTGATGTTCACTTTTTTTTCTCTCTTTGGTCATAGCTGAAATGATATTTTATACCTTATTGTTATTTTTGGAAATTTGTTGTCAATGTTTTATATCTCTGATGTTCACTTTTTTTTCTCTCTTTGGTCATAGCTGAAATGATATTTTATACCTTATTGTTATTTTTGGAAATTTGTTGTCAATGTTTTATATCTCTGATGTTCACTTTTTTTTCTCTCTTTGGTCATAGCTGAAATGATATTTTATACCTTATTGTTATTTTTGGAAATTTGTTGTCAATGTTTTACATCTCTAGATTAGTTAAAAGGAGAAACACTATTGATTGTCTCCCTCCCTCTAATAAAAGTCTATCTTAAATTAATAACTTGACTATATAATTGAGATCTTTTCTATCTTGCTACAGTAATCTATCTGTTATATATATAATGTTCAATGCCTTTATATTACTTTCAAATTCATTGAAATCTTATCGTTGCATTTATCATATGAATTTGATTATATTTTATGGTTTATTCTTCTTTATATTAGAGAGTGAGTTTTTTTTCTAATATATGAAAGATATGCTCACAACTGAGAGTATTTAAGAGTTTTGAAAGAGATCTAACTTGCAAAATGACAAGGGCATAAAATGAGCCCCAAAAGGAAGAAAAAAATGAAAAGATGTGCAATGATCGCCAAAAATAGTGAAAGGTACACAAAGTGTATCAAAAATTAAAAGATGCACAAAGTGAGCCAATACATTGACAAGAGGCATAAAATCAGCCCACAAAAGGCAAGCTTCCTTCTCTTTTAAACCCTTAAATCATAGAAGAATTCATGTGTCACTTGATATTTTCAAAGGCTTGATTTCGAATTTCACGATTGTGACAAATTACTTTGGTATATTATTCTATAAGATATTTTTCTGGTACTAAGTTTTGATTAGATTTGTTTTTATTATCCAATTAGTTTTTTAGAGTTAGGTCTTTTGTTTTCAAAAATACCCTATGAGAAGTTTGAGCTAGGGCTAACAGGATCGGCTAATCTACCATTTTTTAGATTTTGACAATGTTAAAGCATTCTTCTTATAAATTTTAAATTCAATCATATGGAGAATTTATCATTTTTGTTTTTTGATTAAAATAAAAAAGAAAAAAAAACTTTATTTTTGTTCCTTTTGTCACTTTTTATTATCTTTTATGTTTTATTTTTTTCTTTTACTATTATTTTTTGTGATTTTGGGCCTTCTCTGATCATCTCCATCCATCTCCAGATTTTCAATCTTTGGTCACATCATCTTAGATGATATTTATATCATCCTAGACGATGCATTCAATCCACTCTTAAAACTCTATTTGACGGCTGATATGACTTCTCTATTTCTGACCATCCTAGACAATCCATTATCATCATGGACAATCTGATCATCTTCTGCTTCATATAGTTTTTATCATCCTGGACGATCCTCCTCATCCTGGACAATCTTCATAATTTTTCCTCAGTTATTAGTGATTGTCCTAAATGATCCACCTATTCTTCCTGGATGATCCACGTGGCAAATATTTGGTGCACATTTTAAATATGGCCGATACGATCCATTATTGCCTATCATCCTGTACAATCCACCTAATCATCATGGATGATATACTTTTTTCATGGTCGTCCGACTTGACTCCTAGGGACAATCGCCTATGTCTTATCATCTCGAATGATGTCCGATCATCTTGGATAATATTACTGCCTTTTTGACCAATCATCTTGAGCGAAATTATTTTATATGATTGTCTTAGACGATTCTGCAATAGTCTTGGATGATTGATCCAATTTTTTTTTAAACCAAGGATTGCAAACAAATTTTCTCACGCAAACTCTTCCATCCACCTTTTCTCTCATTCCTTCTCTAGTTTTATGTTCATGGCTGGTGGAAAGCACTCTTGTATGGCTTCTAGAAGCTCCTCCAGGGCCAATCTTGACCCTCATTTCACTAAAAAGGTCGACAAAGCAACCTATCTATGATACAAGACCGTCGCGATCACTTTATCCTGGACTTCCAACCATCGTATACTTTCTTATCCTATTCTTGACTTTTTTGCCCACACATCTCTTACCCTTATCCTTATACTTACCATCCCGTTCAATTCTGAATTGCTATTAAAAATCTTTGCTAGCCTCTGCCTCAATTCCTCCTTCACTGCTCTTTAGTCTTATATTAATAAGCATTCTTTCAAAATAATATATATCAAGACTGTCATGAGCT